GAAAAGAAAAGAAAACCATGAAACCTTGTTAGCAGCTTGGTGTTCTAGAGAGATTTGAACATCTAACAGAATCAAAGCTTTTAACTAGTTGATGTCTGTCGTTTGGTTTTGTCTTTTGGTGATTTGGTCCTTTTAATTTTTAATAAAAAGCAAATGCCAAGTGCTTGCAGCCTGCATGAATATGGACGATATATAGAGTTAATCCTGGTAACGAAGGCTCATAAAGTACAATGGCGCAAATTGGCAAGGTTGCAATGATGTTTTAATTGGTCAAATTCAATGATCATATTCTTGTGCATAAAATTTGGGTTTTTATCTTGTATATTTCTTTTTATTCTCCTTTCATATTCACAAACCTGTATCAATTGCCTGAGGTTTTGTGGTAGGAGAGAATCTCAGCAAGCTATGGTTTTCCTTCCATGCAAAGGACTTTGCTAAGAGTGACCCAGGTAACCTGGAACTGGGATTCGTTGAGAAAATTGGTCCACTTGTGGCCTGTATATACTGATTTGGAGTGGATAATGGGCTTTCTTCTTTACAAATGATCCCACTTAGAGTCAGTAGTTTTTGCCACAAAATCCCCAAAGTCCAAACAAGATGGAATGGGCCAAGTACCAGGTTGTACCTAAGGTCAACCTGTAATCATTGTGGCCCAAGTAAAAAGGACCTTCAAGCCCAAAGATTTAGAGACCATGGCATAACAGTAATCCATGGACCATTGATGGTAATTGGTAACAATGCCCAAAAGCATTTATCAGTTCAATTCAAGCAAGCAATGGTTAACCTTTGATGTAATCACCAAGTTAGCAAAACTTAAAAAAAAATTGCAGAAAAATCCACAATGCTGAAGCGACCTCAAGAAGCATTGCTAGGGGTTCATAAGCGATTTACTACACATCCGAGAACCTTCACAGATTCAGGCGATGATGAACACAGAGACAGAAAGGGGAAAAGAAACAGTTTCAGTTCTTTTCATTAGAATTGGGATTTCATTATTCAAAACACAAGTCAAGTAGAAAATGTCCGTCTGTAAAACAAAGATTCAGGATCATATCTTTTCCTGGGTACAGAACCTTATCTATTAACAGCTATAGGCTAACAACTGAAACAGGGAGGAACATAGGGACATACTATGATCAGATAGCTCGAGGAGGTTTCTCTAACACTGCAGAAAGGTAGACTTCATCTTTTGATTTAGGGGCAAGAACCCACTTGTATTTCTTGTACCTGAACTGCAGAAACATGTACATGTAGTCATCCAGGTCCTTTTTGTTACAGAAGAACCTGTCGATCCACAACAATCCTCCTGGCCTCAAAATCCTGTCCCAATCATAAAGGATGAAATCCATCAAAAGAAGGTCAATCCAGCCATCCAAGAACCCGGTTGTATGAATCAAGTCCATCGTGTTATCAAAGAATGGAAGGCGTTGGTTCAGTGTTGCATATAGAGGAATCAAGCCTCTAAGTGCAATGATCTCATTGAAAGGAGCCCCCAGATTCAAAGCGGTTGAGATGATCGTAACATTCAGCTCTCTCATCCTCGCAGCGAAAGTCCCAGTGCCAACACCATAGTCTAGACCAATCCTTACCTGGCCTGGCTTAATGGCCAGTACATCTCTTATCAGGAAATCAACAGGAAGTGAGCTATTAGCTACCCACTTGAGCTTCTCCTTTTCCATGTCGAAACATCCAGTGCACTTTGTGTAACCTCGCTTGGGATTCTTGCTTGATAAGCAACCAAAATTCCTACACCGGTAACCACTCCACCTTACATTTCTGTCATCAGGTAACTTCCACAGAGACTCATTGATAGGATATGGCTTCTGGTACACCTTCGAAGCCCTTGTCAAGCACCGCCTTCGGGGCAAGGGATCACAACCACCAACCATAAGCTTCTGAGCTAGATTCCAATCATCTTTACAGTATGATCCTATATCATAGTCCATGTACCCCTGTAGTTCATTCTTCATCAAAACACACGCATGCCCTATGGTATTGTATATCTTCTCTGTTCCATAAAAGTTAACCTTCACAATTCTGTTTTCTTTGGGAGTTATATACTTCCGGATTTCCTCTGTGACAAATGTATTAATCAAAGGTTCCTCTTTTAGGGTACCGTTTCCATTGCCTTCAATCTTAGGCAGCCGAATCTGTCTGAGAGCAATGTGAGCACCGTAAAGAGGCCTGAGCACTTCCACCTCCAAATACTTCATATGCTCCAATCTTGTAATATTTGTCTTACCCAAAACATCTATGCTCTTCTCCATCTGTTGCAGAGTCGTCTCTAGCTTTACCTGAAGGCTCTCCATCATTCTTAGTACTTCTGCAACTCGATCATTTAAGGGTCTTACATCAAATCCTTCATAAACATCCTTGGTGCCATAAAAATGGCGGCATATGTCTTCATTGTGCACAAAGAATCCAGCAGAGTAGAACCTGAAGAGACTTGATATACTCACAGTTATAACAAGGATTCCCAGTACAATCTGAAGCCAACCCATTATTCTAGCAAACCCACATCTCGGAAAGAATGATCTCCTCATCTTCATTCACATTCACAAATCTTCAGCCTTTCTTCTCCTTACCCCTGCATCTAATGCTTTCTCTGATTAAAGACCAAAACATGATCAAAATCAGCAAACTTCCCAGAATCAATTCCTGGGTACATGCAGTAGTCATATATGAACATCCCCAATGCTGTGTTTGGCTTCCAAGAAAATGTAGGAAAATGAAAGGAAAAAGAAACAACAAATGGACTGGTAGAACAATGAAGCCGATACTGGAACAACATATAAAGTTCTGATAAAAACAAAGAACTATGACTAAATTTAGAACATACCTGATAAGAATATGCTAGCTCTTCCTTTTGCAAATTCAGTAATCTCTTTGATCAGTCAACTCCATCAGCAAAACACCATGCCCACCCTCTGACATTGACAATCCAAAACCATCCCAAATTGTGCTCTAGAAACAGATCTCAATCTAGCTTTTCAGCATTGCCCCCAGTTGATCTTTAGAGCTGGAAAATCGTATAGCTTAAGCTAAAATACTTCACTAACTAAAGACAAGTGCAGCAGTTGAGTAAATTACAGGCTAAGTACACATTTACCCAATTAAAAAAATGGAATAAAAAGCTCGAATCTCGTTGACATGATGAGCAGCAGTTGCAGAAGTATAGTTTAGTTCATATATATTTAATATTCATTGCCGGAATTAGCTTAAAATAATGTGCAAGAGTTGACTCAGTGAAGAATTGAAGATAGTATATAGCTCAGGTTCAGTTGCTTCTACGTTCAATGACAGTTTCCCATATGGTTTTTTTCTTTTTTAATTGTATTTATTTGTTGTTTAGGAAATAATCTGGATTGCTCTAAAGACATAAAGCACCTTCTCCAAACCCCCCCAAAAGGACCAACCCCCCCAATCTGACCAGTCTTAACTATGCTTAAATGCTCCTATTTGCCTAACATCTGCCCCCAATAAATAAAAGAACATCCTGAACTTTGAGAATAATATAATTAAAATCAGTTTCTCTTGACATGTTACTTATAATTTCATCTTAATTCAATAGAATGATTGTTTCATTTCGAATTTATTTCGAGTAGAAATTCATTATCATGGTTCAAATTTTAAAAAAGAATCATCATTATTTGATTTAAGAGAATAGGTATAATGTCTTGAATTAAATAAATTTTTATAATTAACGATTGATCAATTTTTTTAATTAAAATACACTTGTTATTTGATGTTTATTGACACTAATATAATATTAATGTAACATTAATATAAATAATGAAAATATCATATAATCATCTTATTAAGTCATGTTATCATTTATTATGATATGTCATCAACATAAATGTTATGACTATCTTTTTTAATTTATTGAGTTTAATAATAATTTTTTTAATTATTTAGTTAATATTACTTTTATGATTTTTATGCATTCACATAACAAAAATATATTGATATCTTGAAATTTTATATTTTATGAATTAAATTTAATTATTCATATTATCGTGTCTTTAGATGAAATGTTAACTATTACATAAATAGACATGAATACGACCGATTAATTAAATCGAAACTTAGTATCTAAATAACAAATATTATTAATGTTTATAGAATAATCTGCCCTCATAGATTTTTTTTTTCTCAGTAATAAAGGCTTGTGCAAAGACAAACGACACTTTTCTCTCCCTCCCTCTCTCTCTCTCTCTCTCTCTCTCTACACCAACACTATACATACACACTTCGGTTTCTTCTCTTCAAGTCTTCTACACCCCATATCTCTCTTCAACCCAGGTACTATCTCCACCTCGTCAATCCCTTTTCTTGGTTTTTAGATTTCAGTTGCAAAACTGGAAAAACACCAGCCATTTGTTCCTTTGGTTTTTTCCTGTTTATGTTGGTTCTTTCTTTGGGATATGCTCTTACTTTGAGATATATATATTTGGATTGAAAATAGCTACGAATCAATGCTAAACATAACTACCCATTTGCCCAGGTCCCTTCCTTCACGTTTGCTTTTAACGTTTCAAAGCTTTTCTTTCTTCCTGGAGAAGGTTTAAGTTTACTATTTCAATCTCCCTTCTTTTTCTTGGCTCTCTCTCCTTTGTAACACTCCTTTTTTATTCTCAAATGTGGTTTCTTTTGGATTGTTCTTCTTCTTAGTTCCTTTAGCTATCTCTTTAAAGCCAAGTTAATCTTGTTCTAGATAGGATCACATCAGAATTTTACTTGTAATCATTGGGTTACTTCTATTTGCTTTCGATGTTATTGTTTTCGACTCTGAATTTTGTGTGAGTTTAGATTTTTTCTTTTTATGTGAATGTGTTGTTTTGTATCACTTGTTTGGTTTCATTGAATTGTTTGTGTTTTAGTTGTTTTCTTGTTTCGAATTTTGACTCTCGAATGTTTTTAATCAGCTTTGATGGTGAATTGTTTGTATGGAAAGAGGATCTTGGGTCGGTGATCCTGTTATCAGATGCTGTTCTTTGATGCTATCTGCATTTGTGTTTGTTTCTTTAATGAGGGTTTCTTTAGGTTCCTGTTTATGTTTCCAGTATGTAAATCTTGTAATCAGTTAATGTATGTTCGTGTGCAACATATGACATGGAGAAAGAACTGGGATTTCTTTTCCTGGAAAAGATCATTAATGGGGTTTTCTTTAACAGTGTCTGCAGGTGGCATCTTGTGCTCTGCTCTTTGAACATAATGTTTGTGGTAATAGATTGAGCATTTCCTCCAATTGGCCTGGATAACTGAATTGCCATTTAGGTTATTTAGGAGCTCCTTTTTAATTGAAATTGCATGTTTCTCCAAGATTGAATCTTTATGCTGCTTTAGTCCATAAGGATTTCTATTTTATCTGTTGGCATTCAATTGCTTTAATATTTCATCCGGGAGTGAAAAATGATTGATCACATCAGCAATGCATCCCTTTGTTGAATATTTCTTACATTTTGTGTCTCTGTTGGCACTATCAGATAGCCATCCTTTAATGTTTTGATCAAATTCACTAAATTTCACCTTCTTCAAGGGACAATTTTATGATTTTCTTGGGAGAAAATTACATTCTTCTATTTATAAAACTGGGTACTGATCTAAGTTGCCATTTTCTCTGTTTCATGGTGTAAAAGTCTCAGTGGTTTTTAATGTGTCTGAGATTTGGTAATCTGTACTTGAACACATAATAAGTTCCTGGATAATGTGTGCTCATATGTCATATCTTTAGCGGTTCGCTATTTAGTTTACTGCACTCATTTTTCTTAACCTATATTCTTTTTGCAGATGGAAACAGTTCACTTGGATCTTAACCAAAACCTTGCTGAAGAAACATCTCCCATGCAGTTGCTTCCCTCAGGTTCTCCTGATGTAAGTGATATATTTGGCGATCCACAAATAAGTCCGAGAGTTGGCGACAAATACCAGGTGGAAATTCCTCCCATGATAACAGGATCTGAGCATCTTCGGCTTTTGATGGACCCTGTTGACTCAGAAGGCAGTCCTTATCTTGCCCATTCCTTTCTGTTAGGCTTACCTGTCCCTGTCATGTGGACTCATGAACAAGATATTGATTTTGAGGTTGAAGGCCAGGGAGGTCTAAGTAAGCCTGATGATGGAACTAAAGTTGATGAGTCTGTCAAATTTAAAAAGTGCAGAAAGGCCCAGAGTTCTAAGAGGAAGAAAAATTCGGAACTCAGTGCTGAACAGTCAGATGCTAGGTTGGTTGATGAAAAAGAATCAAATGCAGAAAACCTTGAATGTGGAATGGCATGCAAGGCTAACTTATTTCGACCATGTGAAGGTAAAAGCTCTCATCTAATTCCTGGTTCATCAGGTGATTCCTGGAGTAAAACAGAAGTGGATGGTTTTCTTCTTGGTTTGTATGTATTTGGGAAGGATTTTGGGCAGATAAAAAGATTCATTGGAAACAAGGAAATGGGAGATATATTGTCATTTTACTATGGGGCATTTTATAGGTCTGACAAATACCGCAGATGGTCAGATGGCCAAAAGAGAAGAGGTCGAAAAAATATATATGGACGGAAAATCTTTACTGGATGGAGGCAACAGGAATTGTTATCTCGTTTGCTTACTTGTGTCCCAGATGAATCAAAAAATAATTTGCTGGAGGTAAACCTGATTTACTGCTTATATTTCATTTCTAGAAAGAAGCTCATATATGCTTATTTGTTCCTCACACGGACTCAACTTCGTGTTTGTTAGCAGCATGTTGAAGAAGAAAGTGCGAGTTCAATATATCCTAGTTGGTGCTACTTTTGCTTTACTGTTCCATTGATGTAGCAGATCCATTTTTCTAAAGTCAATATTTAAGTATATTTTAGAAAGGATACAAGATCCATACCTTCAGGACTAACCTCAAAGGCTGAGCAAATGTGCATAGGTCCCACTCCATTGTGGATTCTAGGAAACACTTTCAATAGCACTGTCACTCTTTGCAGTCCTTAGAATCTGAATTAGGGAGGGTTCCATGGTGTCCATGCGTGAGTGTTCGTTTGTCCATTGTAATAGCCATGCATGTAATTTTGTTACTGCTTTTCCTCAACGAGTACTTATTAAATCATAAATGCTTACAAGTCTGCTTGAGAATTGTCTTGCATGGCCCTTCTGCTGACTTTGATATATAATTGTAAGGCTATGACCATTAGTATAATCTTCTAGTTATTCACTGAAACTTATTTTGATCGTGGTTGTAAACTAGGTGCGTAAAATCAATAATCTTTTAGATGTCTTTCACTTGCTTGACTGAACTTTTATGTCCTTCACTTTTCTAATTCATAATCGATTAGCAGGTCTCGAAGTCATTTGTGGAGGGGAGAACTTCACTTGAAAATTATGTCTGCTATTTGAAGACTACTGTTGGCATATGTGCTCTGGTAGAAGCTGTAGGTATCGGTAATGGGAAGGCAGATCTTACAGGCCTGGCCATGGAGCCTCCAAAGACCACTCAAGTTTCCCCTGAAATGCCATCTGGGAAGGCTTGCTCATCTCTTACATCTGGTGACATCATCAGATTTTTAACTGGAGGCTTTCGATTGAGCAAAGCTCGATGTAATGATATTTTTTGGGAAGCTGTTTGGCCACGTCTGCTTGCAAGAGGGTGGCACTCTGAGCAACCTAAGAATCAATGCTCTGTCAGTTCCAAACATTACCTAGTTTTTCTTATGCCTGGAGTAAAGAAGTTCTCAAGAAGAAAACTTGTTAAAGGAAACCACTACTTTGATTCTGTTAGTGATGTTTTAAGCAAAGTTGCATCCGAACCAAAGCTTCTTGAGCTTGATGCTGAAGGAAATGGCATCAGCAGCTGCAATGAAGAAAATGGGTGGGTTCCAGGAGAGTCATCGGATCAGGATGATCCTCCTGATCATAAGCCTTGTTATCTCAAGCCCCGAGTCTCTATTTTAAGTTCAAACCATATGAAGTTCACAGTTGTTGATTCCAGTTTGGTCCATGGAGGAAAAGCATCCAGGATGAGAGAGCTGAGATATGCACCAATTGATTTGAGGTATACTTCCAAACCAATGCAGAAGGATACTCAAGATTCAGGGAAGGTAAATGCTAATCATATGCTGTCAAAAGGTGAAAAGTGTGTTACTAATGCTCACCATTGTGAGGGCATAATTGCTAGCTCTACTGCACGCCACATTAAATTTACTATTGTGGATACCAGTCTGCTCCATGGAGGAAAAGCATCCAGTGTGAGAGAACTCAGATATTTACCGGTTAAGTTTGAAATTTCTTCTGAAATTAATAATTCTTCAGGAGGAAGTGAAGATAATTCAAGTGATGATTCTTCATATGACCATAAGCCAAAAATTGCTGACAGGCTATCAAGTTATGGTTCAGTTGCTGCCACTGATACAAAACCTAGTAGTGAGCCAGTTAATGCTGATAATTTGTTGAAAGGTGATAGGAACCATAGTGAGGGTAAATACGATAATGAAAGTTCAAGCCAAAATCCAAAGAACTCATGGACTGCAGATCAGGGGTTGTTGATTCACCAGGATGAGAAGACCAATATATCAGATGATACCAGGTCAAAGAGGATAATAAAGCACCATTTCAGTCGAAGAGCTAAATTTAGTCATTCTGTTAATGTAGTTCCCCTGACAAAACGAAGGAAATTAACTGGTCATACTAATACAGCGACAAGTCCCCTTGCCGAGAATTTCTCTGCTCTGTCGAGTAATTTAGCTTCTCCAATGAAACGACAAAGATTAAATGCTTGTGCTAAGACAGAGACAAGTCACCTCACTGAGAATATCTCTAGTAATCCAATTAATTTAGTTTCTCCTATGAAGAGACGGAGATTAAATGCTTGTGCTGATACAGAGCAAAGCCACCTCACTGAGAAGATTTCCGCTGATATTAGTGAACAAGCAGGGCTATGCTGTGCCTTACAATCTCAAGATGAAGGCAGCAATGATGTCCTCCATGTGAGTCATTTTCTAGAGAAAGTATCACCTATTAGTTCTTCAGCTGATGGAAATCCAGAATCCGTGGAGACTCCTCATGGGAGTAGTGAGAAGCTTCAATCCCAATTAGCAATTGGTTCAAACCCACCCCTGGTTCCACTGGATTCTCAGAATGGTGAACCAGAAACGGCAGAAGCTGATGGCAGCCAGTTCATCATTGTGAATACTTTTGCTGATTTGTTGGAAACTACTACTAATGTTTGTGGTGAAGAGCAGCAACCTATCATGAACCCCCGGAGGCAAAGCAGAAGAAGCAGACCATTGACTACAAGGGTGTTGGAAGCTCTTGAGAGTGGGTTCTTCAACATGAAGAGGACACAAAAAGTTAAACATGTGCAAGCACAAGCAATCCAATTCGCAAGTCCTTCCCGAAAGGCACGCAGTAGAGTCAAAACAACATCAAAGCATGGTAGTGCAGGCGGTGAAACAGTGGATAAAAAGGAAGGAAAAGGCATGGATGGCGAATTTATCCATTCCAAAGATATTATCAGCAAACCTCCTGAAGTGGCTCACTAGCTATTTGCAATCTTCTGGGTTGGCCAACATCCTGAAGTCCTTATCCAGAACAGCTGATGTATTCAGGTGCTGATATTTTGCCTGGACTACTGCCTGATAGATGCCTCAAACATCTGTGATAGAGCGGAATTTGCTTCCATCTTTTTCTTTGCCTATATCGTAGATCAGCAATCTCCAAATTATAGCAGGGGTTGAACCGTGATCCATTTGCCTTTATTCTTTTATTTGTCACCCCTTCAGAAAAATGAAACATCAGTATTTGGTTTTGTTACAACTAGAAGCCATTTCAGGATTGTCAATTGCATCAGTAAACAGATGGCACTTAGGTAAGAGGTAATCCCTATACAAAGCATGCACCAGAATTCCAAGTAGGAGAAGAATTTATGAGAGAGTTTTGATCATATTTGTCTCCTGCACTCCCTATTTACATCATGGAAGCTGCTTTCAGGGGTTCATGTTTAATCAAATTTCTGGTTTGTTCAGTTTAGTATGTTCCTGTAACTAATATGGCACTGATCAATAAGATTTCCTTCCCAGAGAGTGCTTAAGCTTTTAGTTCTTTGTGGTCAATCAAAGTTCTTGGTAGGTCTACTGTTTGGTCTCTCCAACAGCTTTGTGCATTACAGCCCATCCAACGAAATTTGCATGTTATACTTGAATCATAATCCACTTGTGCCAGCTTTCCCTAGGCAATTTTGAAGGGTATGCAAAAATTGATTAAATTAATAAAATTCTATTAATGAGTTTAGAAATAAAAAATGGGTGTACTAAGATAAAAAAATATAATTATTTCTCGACGTGTAATCTAAACAAATTTATTACCACGAAATGATTATTTCTATAAAAATAATTTAAAAGGCCATCATACCTCAAATGATTGTTATTTGAAAGAATTTCCCATGGCAAAATAATGCAAGTGGGCTATACACACCGACCATGCAACAACCCCTTTTTCTTTTAAATCATTATTCACTCTTTTCTCTTTTTGCCTCCATGAATCTAATTGACAAGATATCAAACTTCTCCATATGTTCAATTAGTTTTTTAAAAAAGCAATTAAATTAAAAAAAAATAAGCCAAAAAACTCTATTCAAAAAAACCCGAAACAATGTATCACATGCTTTCTTGAATTTAAACAAAAAACTTAAAAAAATTAATAACTCGAATTCAATATTTAAAAAAATCAAAAAAAAGAAACTCGAGATTTTTACTATTATTCTTATGTCAAATAAAATTTAAAATTTTGATTTTTGAATTTGGTAAGACATTTTGGAGATCTCTAGATTTCTTTTAGCAACTTTAAATCTTTATTGTCAGCAGTATGTGTACCCATGCACCCCCTTACTGTTTTTCCTCCATTGATGAGTATGAACTTACGAGGAAATTTCAAACAAGAAAAAGGAGTTCTAATTATAAATATATATATATAATCTCACACTTTCTTTCTTTATTTATTTATTTATTTTCACTTTTTGATTGTTAATCAAATGATTGACAACTTTATTGTTGCCACCACCAAAGATAACTTCTTTATGAGGTGTATGTTCTCTACAATGTTGGCAAAAAAAGATTTTACCACTAAGTTCTAGTTCCATGAAATGTAAAAAAAAAAAAAATTACATTTAGAAGAAGTTCGATAAATCTCTCATTTATTTACATATTTATATCATAAATTTTGCAAATGAATATTCGTACGTATTTTCCAACTGAACCTATTATATTATAAAAGAAAAAATTATATAATCTTATCATCTGAATTTCAAACTATCAAGCTATTAGACCTAAATTTTTGACCAAGTATGTACATAGTTTGACAAGTTCATGATTTTCAACTTGAAGCCATCAAATTTATAAGTTGACTATAACTTAAAGATCATTATTATCTTATACCAAATCAAACTCTATAAAAAGGAAGAAGTTCATTGCATGATCATTTGGTTTTGGGTCTTCCCTCCCTTTTTTTAATATATATATTTTTGGGGTTTTCCAAATAATATATACTGCATGAAGAATCCAAGATAATCATTCATTTCTGAAATAAATAAATTATACACCAATGTGTAAATGCTTAGGGTTTAGGACTTTTCCTTGTTTCTTGGGACAGAAGGGGTAAAAGGTGAAGTGATTTCAGTAAGAGGACTCTGAACCAAAAAGCATCTGATTGAGAGACAAGAGAATCTTTGAGTTCTGTCTTGAAAGTAGCTTTTCCACAACTAGATTGCAATATGTATTGAGCCCAAAAGTAACATCAATTTTATTTTATTTTTTTTGAATTTTTATTTTTAAATTAAAAATAAAGGGGCTTTTGGAAATAAAAGCTCAAGGTGAAAGCTCATTGCCAACTTAATGAGTTCATGGAGATCTATCTCTTTAGATTCCTTACTCATCCTTGTCCATCAAAGAGAGTCTCTTTTTGTCAATGCCTCAGAAAAGGAAAGACATTTTTTTTTAAAATAAACTTTGCTTTTGCCTCCATTAGTCATTGTACCATTGAGGAGAAAATTTTTTTTCAAAATAATTAATAATAAATTATCATAACATTGTGGGAAAGAAGTTCACATCATAACATGATCACCTTATCAAATTGTATGGTTCATAGAGGTAATTGGTGATAGTGATGTTATTTCTTATTATTAGATTTATAAAGTAAAATGATTTTATTATGTGATTTTAGGGTTGGGATTTTTTACGAGTCAATTTTTCTTCCATAAAAAAAAACAGGTAACAAAAAATTACTTCAAAACAAGCCATAACCAAATCCTCAACCTATGAGTAGTGATTTCTCGAACCTTTTTATAAGATCTAGTTCGATAATTTTAAAATACCCAAATGATTATTATCTTTAATTTATCAAGATAAAAGGGTAACGTATAATCTTATCTAAACAAGATGATCATCGTGGGTGTTATCTTGTACAATCCACAAAATTCATTGCATTTTATTGATATAGGCAAAGTCAAGAAGATAACTTTATTCCACATCAAAAACTTTTGCCATGTCTCAATTCTTTCTGTTGATCACTTCTAATTACTCTACACTTATTAAATAGTGAAAATGATGGGAAAAAAAGGTACTTAGATTTAGGAAAAAGAAAAAAAAAATGGTGGTCTTCATCATTGCTGGTCCATACAATATTTGATACATTGCACATATTTAATCACTTTATGCTTTTTGCAAATAATTTGCCAACTAATATAAATGATCCTTTTCTCATAATTTTCTTTTTCCACTAAAAGACATAGGCCTAGCTCTTTAGCTAGCTTTTCACTGACTAATTATGGTTAAAATCTTGTTTTACTTGAGTAAAATCTCATTAAAAAGGCCACAGTACAAAATCTAGTTTATGAATTATTATTTTGGACCCCATTAAATTATTTTTTTAAGATTTTCTTTTTGGTTAAAGAAATAATAATAATAATAATAATAATAATAATAGAATTTTAACGTTTAATCTTCTTGAATTAAATTTAACCCCAATAAAATAAGACTAATGTAACATCTTATTTCTTTAAGAAAACATTTTTGACAATGATACAAGTAGCTATAGAATTTTTCACTATTTTTTCTTTGTTAATCTCCAATTTTTTGACCTCCCAAAAGAAAAAAAGAAATTCAAACTGTCAGAGATGACATGATATATATATATATATATATATACATTAATAAAAAGTATTAAACTAGAATCCTCCTCTTCGAGTAATTTTTAGATAAAATTAGATATTCGTTGAAATTGTGTTATCATTATAAGTTTTCAACTTCAAAATGTATTTTATATATTTAAACATGTAAGAATATAGATTCGAGATTTAAAACAATTATTATATATATAATTAATCAATAATTATTGTTTATGTTATCTTCATTATTAAAGTATTATAACAA